TATATATATATATATATATATATATTTATCTATGGGTGCAACTATAGATAGATAGATAGATCTGAACACACTGATGTCGATAGATAGATAGATAGATAGATAGATAGATAGATAGATAGATAGATATATCTAAACACACTGATGTAGATAGATAAATAGATAGAGAGAGACAGACAGACAGACAGATAGATAGATAGATAGATAGATAGATAGATAGATAGATAGAAAGACAGACAGACAGATAGATCTGAACACACTGATGGAGATAGATGGATAGATACATAGATAGACAGACAAACAGACAGATAGATAGATAGATAGATAGATAGATAGATAGATAGATGCATGAAAAGAAGAAAGAAAGAAGAAACGAAAAATTATGAGACAGAGATAATGTGAGATAGAAACAGAATTAGATTAATTGAAAGAAAGAAATAGGAAATTATATATATATATGTGTGTGTGTGTGTGTGTATGTGTATGTGTGTGTATGTGTGTGTAGGGTACGAGTTTGTATGTGAGTTTCTGTGTGCTTGTCTTTAGTTTTAAGTCCGTTCAATTCAAAGCACCCGGATGTCATGGAAATTACTCTACTAAGAACAGATGGTTAAACAGAAAATAATAAAACAACACCCGAACAGATACGATAAAAACAAAACATTCGTGAAAAGAAAAGAAAAGATATGAGAAAATACAAAACGAAGTCCAGAATCTATTGGCATCGTATCTTATTTTACCGAACGATTCCATCAAACGGAGATAAAAATTTACCATTTTGCTGCGGTCGGATTCATTGTTTTCTTTTGACTTTTCACCCTCTTCCTGTTTCCCGCTGAACAATAAGGAAACTTTGGTTGATTTCCTTCGTAAGCTTCAGTCGACCGCGACGACATCGTATGTTTTACAACAACAGGAAAGAATGAATTGTTGAACTATAAAAGCCATAACTAAAATTCATGTTTCTATTCTGTACACTTCTCAATATGCAGAAATCTATATATGAAATTCATTGACTTCCGTTAGTCCATCCGTCCGTTACACCTTCTAAAATATTAATACAGTGACTGATCGAAACAAAATTTTGGAGAGAAGTGCAAACAGGTTACGGGGTAAAAAGGACATTTGGTTTTAGTAGGGTGCGTATCTTAGTACAATTAATTTTCATTAATTTATTTTGGAAAAATTAAATATTTTATTATTTAACATACAAAATAGTCCCATTATTTTAAAAATAATTCAATAATTAAAATACTTATTTGTTTTTTGAGTATCTTGTCTTTAAGTTTTTATATATCGATTGGTTTGAGAAATTGAACGAAGCGTAGACTTTGTATATCTCTATAAAAAATGTAAGCGATAACTTTAACAATACTAAATATTGTATGGGTCTCAACACACTTCATCAAGTTACAAATATTCTTGTAATGGACAAAATCTCAGTTACAAGAACAAAAATGACGTGACTTAATGAGTGGTCGCCTAAAGTCATAGGCCATTGTCAGTGTGGCCTTAGAGCGGTATACCATTAATACATTTTTACATAAAACATGGCCAACAATAGATATTTATAGTCAAATGACCAACAATATATATTTATAGTAAAATGACCAACAGTACATATTTATAGTCAAATAGCTAACAATATATATTTATAGTCAAATGACCAACAATACATATTTATAGTCAAATGACCTACAATATATATTTATAGTAAAATGACCAACAGTACATATTTATAGTCAAATAGCTAACAATATATATTTATAGTCAAATGACCAAGAATATATATTTATAGTCAAATGACCAAGAATATATATTTATAGTAAAATGACCAACAATACATATTTATAGTCAAATGACCTACAATATATATTTATAGTATAATGACCAACAATATATATTTATAGTCAAATGACCAACAGTATATATTTATAGTCAAGTGACCAACAATATATATTTATAGTCAAATGACCAACAATATATATTTATAGTCAAATGACTTAAAATATATATTTATAGTCAAATGTACATATTTATAGTCAAATAGCCAACAATATATATTTATAGTCAAATGACCAACAATATATATTTATAGTAAAATGACCAACAATATATATTTATAGTCAAATGATTTAAAATATATATTCATAGTCAAATGACCAACAATATATATTTATAGTAAAATGACGAACAGTACATATTTATAGTAAAATGACCTACAATATATATTTATAGTCAAATGATCAACAATACATTTTATCTGTAATTGAAGGCATCTTATTTCATTCAAAATATATCAAGTTCAAGCCATAAAATTGTGTTCAAATTATTTAGATTTCCGCATTAACAAACCCGTAATGGTTGATATACCGCTAAACAAAATTAACCACCAAAATTCTTTACTATTAGCCGTTCGAACCCTAACAGCCCTGATGAGTAAGTCAAAGCGCGCCAGATCAGACGCTGGTCTCTCCCGTAAAGAGGAACGAATGTTTGATTCCTGCAAGATGGCACTTTTTCTTTATTAAATGTTTTCTAGCGCGCATTCTATAAAATAAACGGAACGTCTACTCAAATACGAGTCCCCACTAAAAATAATGTTTGAAATAATAAAACTACCTCAGGTTAAAAAATAGAAACTGCATTAATTCTTTGAAAATACTTACATTTATATGATAAATATTGCTTGTAAATTTCAGCCTTATTTTACTAGAAATGCAGTAACTTTATGTGATCGTGCGAAATTTTATTATGCAACTGGAGAGTTGTGTCTATATTTGTAAGAAGAGGTATTGTAACTATTTACACTATTTACATCGTTCGGACTATTTTCCTCGTCTTTATTGCCATATCCACGACGTTTCGGCCGTTGTACGCTCCGGCCTTCTTCAGGCGATATACGCTGGAATTTCGAACCGAACCCTTTATTTAGTCTACTGCGGTAGATTGTTCTAGTTCCACGTGTCATGCCTTTTTTTCTGGATGTCTTAGTTTCAGTTTTGTTTCTTAAGTAACTCAACTCTTCAAGTTTTTGTTCACCTCTCGCCAGGTATTGAACTCACAATTCTTTGAGTCAAGTCACCGGATTACTTCCACCAACGCTTTTATCTACTGGGCCATGTGTCATCTGAAGTGAATATGACAATAAAAATGCGGACGACGGTCCGAACAATGTAAACAGTGTAAACTTGAGAGTTTGTAATTATATTTTAAATATATAGTTATAATAGTAGGTATATCCACTGAATTTTCGATACCTAACGTTTAAAATGAATTTTCGGTGAAAGGGGTAACTGTTTTACGAAAAAAAAAATGATGATTTACTTTCTTCAAGGAGTCCTACTTTTAACTAATAAAAAACATCCCCGCCGAAAAAATTGAATTTCTTGAAATTTCATGAAAGTAAGTGGGTGGTAACATATATAGCCATGGAGCGGGTATTAAGTGGACTCAGCAATTTTCAATCTGCTTGTCTGAATCATCTTCAAGAAGCGAGAGCAAGATCTAAAAGGTCAGCCAATCTAACAGTGATCTCCTCTCACAATCCTCACACTTGCTCCATATGTGGCCTTAGATGTCACTTAAGATTAGCGCATAAACTTTCATAACTGAATCAATAAGCTGTCAGATCCTCATACGCCGAAACCGACAGGAGAGTCCATTATATATATATATATATATATATATATATATATATATATATATAAATTTAGCAAGATTTTCTAAAAAAAAAGTTTCAAAATAATTTCATTAGTTTCTGAATAAGTCCTGCAACTTTCATTAAAATCCGACAATTATTTGATTTTTGCAAGAATTTCATTGTGTTTCTCACCGGAAAAGTGCAAGAAGGAAAAAGAACCCACCCAAAAAAACAAAAACAAAAACAAAAAACGTTAGCATTACGTAAGCCTCTGACGTAAACAAAAAGATGTTTAAGCAAAATTTATAACGTGCAAGAAAAATAAGGAAAAATATTTGATCTTTCCTCTTAATAAAAACATAAACATTTTGATGACAAAACTTTTTTTTATTGAACTTGGAGCCTTTTTCATCATGCTATGCTACTTTTTTTCCGTGAAAAAGTGAAGGTACCTATATCATAGTATCCTTGTCATCAACATCATCATATGTCCCATGACCCAGTGTAGTCGTAGAGTCGATTCGCACCCTAGCACTTGACCAGTTTCTTTCACATATATGGTTTGGAAGCCGCAGAAATGTTCATTCATGATTGACTTCAGTCTAGGAAGATCTTTCGTCATACCGGCTGCCTACAGAAACATGGGACTTAATCTATGCCAGAGGTTAGATGAACGTGACTCTATAAGAAAACTGATCCACGACTTGCCACGTTTCGCTTTAAATTTGCACGCAACTCTCCTTACCAGAAAAGCTTGGTGTGTGACCCGAATATGTGGTAATTAGTACTGGATTACATGATACCAGTAGCATTCGTAGAGTGACCACGTATAATTTTAATACTGTAGATAGTGAAGTTTATTTTTCAATTACATATATATAAATATTCCTGCAGCTCGTAGGAATTATATCACCTTAAAGAGAAACAAGTTATTGAGTGCTGCGAACACAAGTTTTGAATTTGCGATAACGTAAAACAAAATTACAAAAGTACGAAAAACGAAATTGAAAGCATTGGTAAGATATTCTTCTTTTATATGTCGTGGCTATTCATGGCGTCAGCGATCATGGCCCTTCACATCTTTCTGCCCCTTGTAGCTCTTAATAATTTTTGACTTTTTGTTATTTATCTCAAACCCTCTTCTAAAATATATTTAATCATGCTCATCAAGTATTTCACTCTCAGTAATTTTTGCTTGCATCAAATTATTAAAAAAAAATGTGGAAGCAGACCTGAATTGTGTGGACGTGTTAGCCGGGTTAGGGATTGTTTACTTCATGAAAATAAGTCATTTATACGACGTAGAAGTTGATAATGATGTCAAGATAAATAATTTCTTGTACAAAACTTTGAACAAGAGATGAACAAGAATTATGAAGAGGATATTACGCAAGTCAATATTCCTTCATATTCTTCAAGGGTGACCTTTGCCCAGCTTTCCAAAAAGTGACTATAAAAACATAAAACTAATGCCATGTATCGCCTCTCTCCAGATATTAATCCCCCCAAAACATACCCTGTCATTCATATATATACACACACACACACACACATATATATATATATATATATATATATATATATATATATATATATATATATGTATACAGAAATATAGTCTTAAGATTTGCTATATTTATGGGATAAAGTGCTCAATATCAGAGATAGAGCGTTTGTAAATATAAAAGTGAACATTGAAGTCAACACTTAGAGGCGACAGTTTGTTTCATGCTAGATGCAATCGTCAGGCCACAAGTGCTGTTATTTTTCTCGGCTATTTATATATATACGGGTCAGTGGTGCATTGTGGGTAGTCTATTTTAGCGGTTATTTTACTGGAAGTCGTTTATTTGTTTATTTATTTGGGTTATATCGTTTTGCTTGTTTTTATTTTTTATTTTTATTTCTTATTTTATTTATTTATTTGCTTTTTACTTTTATTTTAATCGGTGTTTTTATTAACGTAGTAAAAATTTGTTTCTATCGCTTATTTAATAGTTTTGTTTTGGTTTGGGAAGATAAAGCTATTTATTAAATTTTGGGGTTGATTGTTGTTTATTCTAACTATTATTTTGGCAAGAACAGTTTTTAATTTGTTTATTATTTCATGTATTTATTTGGATTGATTATCTTTATTTGTTTTTTCTAACGGTTAGTTTATCGGGATCAATTTGTTAGTTTATTTATTTGGATCAATTTAGGTCAATTTATTTTACTTGTCATTATTTATTTGTTATACTGTATATTTTCTCTTATCGGTTTTCGATTTTTAAGTGACGTAGTATATTTATTTTATTTTATTTTTTTATCGTTATATAACAGTTATAGCTATTTTTTCTTTTTTCGTCCGATTTTTGGTTTGATTTTTATAGTCTAACTAATATTTTGCTCATAATGGTTTGCTAATTTGTTTATTATTTACTTTATTTATTTGGGCCATTGATTTTTTTCTCTTATTCTTTATTCTATTTCGTCTATTCTAACAGGTGTGATTTGGTAATTTGTTTATTTATTTTGCTTATTTTTATTGTCATTTTGTTTATTTATTTATTTTCATTTTATTTTTTCCGTTTTCGATTTTTAAGTAACGTAGTAAAAATTTGTTTTCATGTCTGCATTTTGAGATGAGCTCGGATCTTTTATTTAATAATTTATTTTGGTCTGGGAAAGTAATGATAGCTATTTTTTCCTCCAAGCAAAGTTTGCAAGTTTTCGATTGGTTGTTGTAGACTTGATCTTTTTCCTTATTTTCCAAGATATTTTTGGTGTGATTACGTTTTGTTTTTTAATTTCACAGATGTACTTATTGTGCTGTTCGCATATTTACTATTTCTGAAAGATGTTTTGTGTGCATAATTTATATATATATAGAGAAAGAGAGAGAGAAAAAAGAGAGAGATAATAATAATATGAATAAATATGAATAAACAATATTTCCTTTTCTTTCTATTTGTTTAATTCTGTTTTTTCCTATCTATCTATCTATCTATCTATCTATCTATCTATCTATATATATATATATATTATTTTCTATTTCTTTCTTTTGATTAATCTAGTTCTGTTTCTATCTACCTTTTTTCTTTCTTCTTTTCTGCATCTATCTATCAACTTTATTGTGTCTGCCTATTTCATTTTCGTTTTCTTTCTTTCTATTCATCTCATTCCTTTTTGTATTTATCAGTCTCTATCTCATCTTTTTTTCTTTGTTTCTTTGTTTGTTTGTTTCTTTCTTTCTTTCAACTATACTTGTTCCGACAATACCTTGCTATTTTGTTTCTCTCTTTCCCTCCTCTTTCATTCTTTCTTTCCTTTTCCCAAATCGTTTGTTTGTTTGTTTCTTTCTTTCTTTCTATTAAACTCATTTGGTTTCTATCTATCTATCTATCTATCTATCTATCTATCTATCTATCTATCTATCTATCTATCTCGGGACACATTGTCCGGAGCAAAAAAAAGTGCATACTATTTCAAGATATTGTTGAACTTAGCTGGATTTGGCAGGAAATAATTCTGAAGTATCCAATGTGTGCCCATAAATCTTCAATGGCAAAATTCTGTGTGTATCGTCAAAGCTGTCAGTTCATTCATGTATTTATTTGCACGTTGCAAGAACAAATGTTACCTAACCTAAGAGAAGCCTATGAAACCCGTTCAATTAAGTCGTCGTATAAACTTCTCAGTGTCACATCTCCATGCTGTCATTCTCGTGAGGAGAGGACCAGCTTAATTTAGACAAAGTGGTCAAACGGTCCATATTCCTCAAAAACTTGATGAAACATTCTTGGGAACAGATAACAGCGCTGTTCGTTCCGGACCTCGCAAATACCTGTCTCATTTTAATGGAACCTCAGCCTGACCACTTTTCTATTCTTTGAAAGCCTACAATGACGGGCCTCCATCCTATCGAAGATACGGCATCCGAACCAATCCGTAACGCCCGCTTTCGTTTTCTGTAAATTCAAAGCGTGCATAACATCCGGGGCATGTCAGACTGTAGGTCTCAACTGCTGGCCCTGTCATCTTTGATTAGAAATGCACAGTGTGACACTGACACAAACACACATTCCCCATTCTCTTTCGTATGCAACTCCACGGCGAATGCATTTGATGTCTGTGTTAATATTACGCGCCTACATTTCATTCGTTGTTGGTCATCTGTAGAAAGAGCTTAATTTGTCTAGTTATTTATTAAATTTAACATAGTTTGGCACAGGGTCATTACATCGGAGCTCTCAGAGAATGATCGAATTATCAAAAGCTATTGTTTGTTAGATTATCAAACTGTGATAATTATCCTTACCGAACTAATATAGGTTTTATATATAAATATATATGTGAGACCGTTTTTACGATATTAAGCGTTTTATATAGGAAATGAATCAACTTGTTATACCATTGCTTGAAAAGTATAGTTATTTTGATCCAGAAATGAAAACCTACATTCTATTTTAAACATTATCTCCTATAAGGATGTGCGGTTGGTGTAATAGATATTAGCTAGGAATGAATCATCGGAGAGTCGAGTTCGAATACCAGTTGAATTCGTTGTATTCACTTACGAGAAAATATTCTTGGAAAGGTTAAGAACCCACCTCTTCTCTTCCACCATCTGGAGTGATGGATAGCGGCTTGGATTGAGGAATCGGAGAGCCGAGTTCGATTTCCAGTCGAATCCATTACATTCACTTACGTGCTAATACCCTTGGGAAAAGTGTGAATCCTCTTCTTCTCAGTCCAGCTATGGGTAAATAGCAGAACAGACTGGGTTCTATAGCCTTGGATGGCAACTGGTCTAGGAGAAGGAAAACTCTGAATTCAAAACTTGCGGAGGGTCGTTTGTGGACCTTGTGGCACGTAGTGCACCAGGTCTCTGTAATCGGCCCTTCAAAATGTGTGTATAGTCCTGAAGGAAACCTTCACTGCTATAATCAAAATCTCATGTGCTATACATGCGGGTTGGGGACCGCTTGTGAATTCCAAATTCCCCTGACTCCAATATTGGAGCCGGCTCAACCCACCCCGGGTGGATGCCGTTACAGGTAGGGGGCTCCACCCTCTGTTGATTTAATAGCAAAACAGACTGGGTCATATAACCTTGGTTAGCAACCAGACTACCGCAAAAAGAAACCTACTGCGGGAAAATCTTCTGCCTCGTCAGTCATGAATTGAAAATATTCATGATCGCCCAAGAGTGTATCGCGCATGAAACATAATTGATAGTAAAATGAAACATGGAATAAATTCACTATACGTGTCTGAGGCGAAAATGAAGAAGTCAAATACTGTTGGGTCAAACTTTTGTAGAGGGAGAATAAACATCTTCTTCTGTGTACAGTGTCTCTACAAGACGTGGGCGATCATGGCTTTCCATAGCTTCGTATCTTTTGTGACTCTCAGCAATGTTTATTTTTGCAATCGCGTCTGATCTCTGTTCTGCCATCCATTTACAACATCTCGTTAGGTAGGGTACTCACATTTTACCAGTATCTTTCACTATATCCATTGCGTGTCAACGTTTCCAAGCTCTCTCTTCTGATTATTTGCCCCTAGAACGTTCAATTATCTCTTTCTAATTGTGAGTATAAGCGTCATTTTTTGGTTTTTATTTTCCTTGAAATGTCCTCTTTTCGAATCTACTCCGATTATGGTATACTCAATATCTATTAGCAGAAGCATGTCGTTTTCTTCTTTTTCTTCTATGTGCAGGACGTTGGCGATCATGGCTCTCCACAATTTCCTGCCATTTGTAACTCTTAATAAATTTGGTCTTTTGTTATTTTTCATAAACTCTGTTCTGCCATCCATTTGCACAATCTTGCTAGGTAGGTTGTATATTGTTTTCCTCTGTATCTCCACCCCCCTAGCCTTTAATCTTTCCTGGGAGTATCAAATTTTCCAAGTCCACTTTTCTCATTATGTGCCCTGGAAATTTCAACTGTCTCTTTCTGATGTTAAGCATAAGTGTTTTTTTTTTGTTTCCATTTTCTTTAAAACTTCAACGTTATTCACATGTTCAGTCCATGTTATTCTTAGCATCCTTCTGTAGAACCACATTTCTTTTGCCTCAAAACTCTTCTTTATCTATGAGGAGATTGTCTAGCATTCACTGTCATATAGGAGGACTGATGTTACATAACGGTTCAGTATTCTTTTCTTTGTTTCTTAATATTATGCTTAGCTTTAGGAGAGCATCATTCGCTATGTTAATGCACCTTTGGACTTGAGTGTCGCACTTGCCGTCCTTTGTTAAAACACTTCCCAGATTAAGTTGTTGTACTTGTTTGATTTTGGTATTACCAATTTGTAATTTGCGTGTTGGGCTGCCCCTTTTGATAATAACCAGGCAGTACGTCTTGCAATTTTTATTACTTGTTTGTAAAAAAAAAAAGAAAAAAAAAACTGTCAAAATCCTACTTTTTTCTTAGGAATTAGTGTTACATGTCTACAAAACTACATAGTCAGAGAACTTGCTTATGGTCTGCGAGACTCAACTGATTGCCACTGCACTCCATTACAGAGTGTATCAGTCTTTAAAATATGCATGCAAGGGAACTTTTTATTAAAAAAAAACAAAAAAAAAAACGATAATTATTCAAGAAATCTGTTGACTATAAGTCTACCTTTGTACAGAGAGAAAAGCAGAGATAACGCGGTACAACTTTCGTGAAACGGAGAATGTCGAGGTGGCATTGAGCTTAACCCTTTTCCCCGGCGTAGACGTGTATATTCGTTTTACCGAAAGTCTATTTTTCAGACACTGACGAATAAATACGTCCAGAATATAACGTTAAAAAAAAATAAAAATAAAAATAAAACAACTACAGACGTGTATATACCTCGATCTTGACTTTTTTTTTATCCCCTTTTGAACTTGAAACAAGATACGTCTGGTAGAGGTTTTCGCCACCGC